TTTTATAGGGAAAATCCCCACAATTCTAATAGTTTTCTATGACTAATTAACTAACAGTAAATTAAATAACAATAAATTACAATATTTTATAATAATTTCCAACTTGTCATCGTAAGTCAAGACACTTTACTCCATCCTTGCCCCAACCCCAATGGCGGGGGAAGGTTTAGGGTGAGGCACCCATTGGGGAATCCCCAAATTCTCCCTACCTTGAAGCAACCACCTAAAAAATTTAATTTATGGATATTTTACAAATAGGATAATGGGAATTTGGGGGTATTTTAGGAATTGGATTATGACAATTTAGGGGTATTTTATAAATCAAATTATGAGATCATAGGATTATAAGGATATGTGGAAAACTTAGAGATATTTTAAAAATCAATATTAAATCTACGGATATTTTACTAATTTACCATCGAGTTCAAGGAATTATTTGCAAACCCCATTCCTAATTTGGGGCAAAAATATTTTCCCTACCCCCACCCCATCTTTGCCTTGTCTACGTTTAAGATTTGAGAAAACTTGCGTGTTCAAGGCGGGGCAAGGTAGGGCCCTAGTTTTACAAGGAAAATTGCCATCCCTACAATTCTAATAATTTTCTATAACTAATTAACTAACAATAAATTAAATAACAATAAACTACAATATTTTATGATAATTTCCAAAAAATTATTGAAATTTCTATTGATTATTGGTAATTTTTTAGTAAATTAATTATTTACAATAACAATAAATTAATGTAAATTATTTACTTTTTAACCCTAAATTATTTACTATTAATCAAAGTAAATGTAAATACAATAAATTAATGTAATTATGGTAAACTACATTATTTCTAATTAAAAGTAAACAATTTGTTGTTAATTAGTGTAAAACCAGTATGATCGAAGTCAACCAAGTGGTCTAGATCAGTGTGGATAGGCATAATAATTTTCCTAAATTATTTAATAATTGTTTATTGAAATAATAATAATGGATTGTGATTTAAATAATTATGAAACAATTTCTAATAGATTAATTTCATAATTTAATTTTCCTAAATCTTTTAATAATTATTTAGTTGAATAATAATAATGGATTATTATTTATGTAGTTTTGGAAAATATTTTTCTCATAGATTAATTTCTTAATTTTTTATTTACTTATTTAAAAAATAATTATGGGTTATTAGTTAAAGACTTACCCTAAATTTTTTAATTACTTAATTTTTTATTTTCGAAGTTACACTAATTTATCATTTATTTTTAGAATATAATTAAATTAATAATTTCTGCAAAATGAGATTACACTTAATATAAATTAAGTAGTAATAATATTCCTAGAATGTAATAATTTACCTTTTATTTTCCAATAAAACTTAATCAATAAATTAAGTAAAAAGTTAATTATATTTTCTTTTCTAATATAAATTAATCAAATCTTTTCTGAATATGTAATAATTCATTTTCTAAAAATATAATAATTTTCTAAAATTTTAATAAATTATCCTTTATTTTTCAATATAAATTAATCAGAAAATTAATTATCATTAAGTTTCCTATATAAATTAGTCAGAAAATTAATTATCTTTAAGTTTCCTATATAAATTAATTACCTTTTATTTTCTAATATAAATTAATCAATAATTTTCTGACAATGTAATAATTCAAAATTGTAATAATTTTCAAAACTTTTCTGAAAAATTAATAATTTATCTTCTAATTCCCAATAAAAGTTAATCAATAAATTAATAAAAAAATTACTTATTTTTATTTTCTAAAATAAATTAATCAATAATGTTGTGAGTATGTAATAATTAATTTTTCAAAAACAATAATTTTAACTAATTATTTTCAAAATTACATGAAATTATCGTTTATTTTCAAATATAACCTAATTAATAACATTTCCAAAAATGAGATAATTTATCTTTTATTTTCAATAATTATTACATTAATTATTTGTAAATAATTAATAATTGTAGTAACAAATAATTATTACATAATAAATTAAAATGGAATAAAAAAACCAAAAAAAACACAATAACATATATAAATTGGGTCGTACCCACTCTTCCACAATAGCGAATCAGTGGATTATTTGCTTGGATATTTCCCACCAGAAAACAACGGTCGATCGGTGGAACAACACCTGCCACCAATCTTTTTGTAAAAACCAACACCGGCAGCCAGTGTTTTTGTAAAAGCCAACCCAACACCTAAATATCTCATACAGACAACAACCTTTACTTGCAAACATTTCTGGGTTAGGCAATTACTTAAAATACCTTAGACATTTTTTACAATGGCCAACTGTTAGGAACCCGTAATAGAAAAATCAAAAAGATTATTTTACCCTTGAATTTTCTTCAAATTCTTAAAATGTAGCATTTCTTCTCCGTCTCGATCTGCCCCTTGCCAAATAGGCTCCCGTCGCGGCTGCTGCTTTCTTTCTTCGACGATTGTGTCTGTGCATCCTGTCACACTCACAAACTCACGGGAATACAGAAAGAGAAAGAGGGAACTACYGAGATTTCGCGATGGATTCCCTTTCAGTTAGCCTCCTAAAAACCCTTCTTTTGACCTGTACCTGTATGGATCTGTTATTAACATGGTTTTCAAAATCAAAACCGGATCGGACTGGAAAAATCGGGACCGGTTCCGTTTTTCTCCAAAACTGTTTTTTCCTCTAAAACCATTGATTTTGGTCAGTAAACCACTGAACCGGCCAGTTAATCAATCGAACCGTTCAAATGATTTTAACCATTTTTCAATTTTTAAAATTTTTTATTTTTTTGTCAGAACTGACCGACCATTCAAATCGGACGGTCAGACTATTCGTACCAGTAACCGGACCCTGACCAGTTCAGTCACCGGGTCGGTTTTAAAAACTATGGTTATTTGCATTTTGATATATAGATATAGATGTATAGAATAAATTTTATACACATATTATATATTTAATATTTTATATATAAAAACTATAGGCTAAAATCATGACTGGCCTGGCCCAGTGTCAGGCTTATTATGCCAGGTGCAAAAGACTGGCCTGGGCCCTGGCCCGGCCCATGATGCCCCCTTCTTACCTGTTTCGTAATTTTTGTAMTGTAGCATGCTCCTTGCTGCATATTTCTTCTTTTTAACTCTATTATATATTCAGGAATTGTGGCAAAGATTTCTGTTTTGTATGATGATTGCCACCGATCATTTAATGAAATAATTTTTTTTCATAAAAAATTCTATTATTCAGAAGAAATGCCATCCTATAGATAGCAGCATTGGATACTTAGGAAAAGGCCTACAACAAACAAATGAAAATCTTTGTCTTGAGATGTTGTATGATGAATATGCCCTTTACCGACCTTGTATGGGCAGTGGTACTTCATAATTGCATGTAATGTTGAGGCTATTTTCTGTTTATCAAGGAGGAAAAACAAGTATTATTTCTTCCCCTAGCCCCCATGTGAGGTGTTCATTTTGAGATGACACATATGAAACGTTGTCATCGACTCTTGGCCCGCCAATCTATTTAATGGAGTTGTCTACCTCTCTGCTATAATTCTATGCTCTGATTCTTGTGAATTTTATTGTTTTTGGAATTAAAAAAAAATAAGAAACTTTATCAATGTTAAATTCAGTTTTGGGATAAGTAATTTGTAGTCCATCTCAGAAATCTGAAATTGCAGTCCTCTCTTAGTCTATTATTACCTTTCTCTATAAATTACATCATGTCCGTGAATTTGATATCAATCCATAGACAGGATTCAGTCTATTCCTAGATATCTTAGCTCCACCCTAGGGGTGGACTGAACTATAAAAACCCCTTTTTGTTTTTTAAGAAATTGAAGGTAACATTAATTCGTACACTGCATGAGCCTTCTCTAATGTGCAGAACCCCGAATAAATGGGGCAGTTTTAATTTATTATTGTTTATTTTTACCAATAAACCGGTATCATAAAAGTGGTAATCAATCAGGTTGTATTTATCAAAGTTCGTTGGAGTTGATTGGTATTTTATAAGTCCAAATTATGCACAAAGCCTCAATTTTACGTTAATTTTATGCTTAAAATGTCTTTGCGCTAGATTATAATATTTTTTAGAAGCAACTCTTACCAGAGCTCAAGACCCTTGATTCAATTTAATTTGCTTTGACAGCCCACACCTTTCTTTCAAAAAATAAGGCTCTGTTTACATAAGTTTTTCGTTTTGAGCTGTGGGATGTCAAAGCAAATTAAATTGAACCAAAAGCTTATGTAAATAGAGCCTTATCTTCTGCAGTCTAGCACCACCAATTCGTCTTTTAATATAGACCTATAGGGTGGTGATGACGAGACCGGATCTGCTCCTCACAAGAATGCCTTATATCACACGCACATCCTATCATGCATTGGGAACATCTCCCGTACTTATAAGTTATTTTTCACAGGAGATGTTTCCAATGCATGGTGGATGTGCCTGTGAGGTGCCCCTGGGAGGAGAATATCCCGTTCTGGTGATGACACTTCTCTTGGATTGGGATTTGCTCCTCACAGAACGCTCACACCAACTTAACAGCACAACCCATCAATACCATGTATTGGGAACATCTCCCATGAATAAAAATATACAAGTATAGAAAAATGTAAATTTGTAAAATGCAAAACCTTATATTTTATATTATTTTATATATTTRTACTACACATTTATATTTATGCTCTTTGAAATTAGTATAAATACAAATATGCACCGAGTAAATACAAAAAGTACTCGGTGCAAAATTTAATAAGAGTGCAAATTCAAATATGTTCAATGCATGCAAAATTTTATACACAATATTTTTTCAGCTTGTATTTGAAATATACATATTTGCCTTTGCATTCTTCCCAAACTGAGCCTAATAAGAAGTACAAAATACGACTTGATAATTAGAGTTCTGAATTGTAGCAAGCCAGCCTAAGTCCTAAGTCCTTTTAATTGGATCCTGGATACAAAGCTCGGCCCTAACATCCCCAACACATTAACATACACACACCATATTATATTTTGGAAAGAAACATGAAATATCATAAAATAGATTGAAAAAAAATACAAATTGAACAAGCTATTGCATTGATACTTATTCCAGAACAGGAAGTCAGACTGTAGATCGGTTAGGCACACAAAAGAAAACAAAACAAGAAAATGAAACAAAAACAAAAGAGACAATAAGTATTTCATATAAAAGTTTTTATATGCCTTCAGAGTTCATCGTAGGCAAGTTAACTTTGTGCATCTCCTCCCTGTAACCAAAAGCCAAATTGTTATTGTTTATCTTTAGGGCTTAAAGTTAATGAGAGATGGAAAGTGAGTATGGTGTTTTTTGAGTGCAAGCAGGAAAATAATTAAGAATACCAGAACAAACCTCCCAGACAGAAATGATTGGTGGTGTTGGATTGATTTTTACTTAAGGCTGTGTTTGGAAACAATGCAAATAAGTTGAATATAAATAAATATGTAGAGTATAAAACGGTTCATATAAATTATAAAATTGGGTTAATTTTGCACTGACAAATTTATCTTCTTACCAAATTGACTTTTAGCTGTAATGGATGCAAAAATGAATTCCAATAAAGCATATGCTTTTTTTTTTTTATATCAAAAACTCACTTGAATGCAAATTTACGTCTTTTTTATTGATGTACTTTTATATCTTATTATCAATGTAAATATGCATTACTCTGTTATTTATCAATGCAATAATGTAGTGTTGCCAAACATAGGCAAAAATGAACCAGAATGCTAATTTACCCTGAACCAGGATTTACACTCCATTTGCATTATTTCCAAACACAAAAAGGGAATTATTCGGTGTAAATGGTTTTGTTTTAAAAAGAAGAAATAACTACCACATCAGTAAAATTATATCCTTTCTAGTATAAGCTATTAGGCGAGGTTCGTTAATAGGTTTTTATTAAGCATGGATGTACAAGCATAAACCCACACCTTGTACTGAAATTAAATTAATTTTAATAAATGAAATCTTAAGATATATAAGAAAAATATCTATAGAAGACAAGTAAAAAGAAATGAAGAATATGCATAATTTAGGTGGCTTCCGTAGATTCTGAATCAGGTCGCAAGACATGATCCCAAAGATATACGGTTGCAACGGCTGTTAGGACCATGTCTTGGGACCAGATCAGAATTTCTTTAATTTTAGCTACAAGTTAGTACAATTAATTTGTTCCGATTAAACAATTATTAATAGGGTTAAGTAATATGCAACCCAAAGCAGAATTTTTTACTAGTAGCCCTCTTTATAAATCGCATCTTGCTGGTGAATTTAGCATCAATTCATGGTTAGATTCATCCCTTGTATGATGGGGCTACAAAATCTGGCCTGGACTGATCAGTCATTCTCCCTTATTAATAATTCAATCTCAGGCTCAGTTTGTCTCACGGGAATAGGGGTTTGGAATAGGAATTGGAATGGGTGCTATTTGATTCCAACGGTTGGGTTGGGCAGAATTAAAATCCCATTTTTATTCCTGCTGGAATGATATTCTTCCATTTGAGGGAATGGTTATTCTCTTCCCCTTTCTTGCTTGGGAAGGAAATTTTATTCTTGCTGGATCCAATTTCAATTCTCATTGCTGTATGAATCAAACGKACTATAGGAATAGACCATTTCAATTCTAATTCCACTGCGAACCAAATGAACCCTCAGTAAATGGACTAGTACAACAATTAATTACACTTGTTATGCTGTCTCTCCACATCCCCACCCCATCATTCAATGGAATTTGTGCAGGTCAAAACAAAGAGCAGGAGCCCTTTACCTTAACAGTTGGTTGGTTGAGGAAGGTTGCACTTTGCAGGGAGCTGCAAGGCAAGCTGGGGGTCTATCCCAAGGGAAGGCAGCATGTTGGAGTTCTTGTAGGAGCAAAGACAGTGCATGTCAGCACCTGACAGAGCGGAGCAGCACATAGTCGAGGGTGGGGAAGGGTTCGGAGCAGTTACTGATGGCTTGCAAGCCATCAGACCCTCTTGACTCATGTTACAAATGGTCTGTGAATTTGACATCGTCACCTCATTTCCCAGCACCAGAAGGACGAACACCAAAGCTGCGAGCTTTTGGATCGGCTCCATCTCTCAATCTCAGCTGTAAATCTCTCTCCTCGATCGACCTAGCTTGTGCTTTCCCTCAATTTCACAGCCATGGAAGAAGTTTCATTTAAATAGGCAATATTGCTCAAACTGTTGGCTGTTTAGACGTGCCACGAGCTGGGAAGCCCGTGAGTGAATATTGGCGGCATTATGTAGTCACGGGAGTGTTAATATGTAGAATGACTACGACTTTATGTTGATTCTCTTGGGTATATTTTATGAAGACATATTTCAGAAGATTTAAGTATTATTTTTCTTTTTGTCTACAGAAAACAACCTCTAGTCTTCCCTTGTTTGTTTTATGTAGTTCAACTTCAACTGAGGCTTGGAATGTGAGTTCGTTGTTGATTCTATCTTGTGGTGCATATTGGTTTAAGAGAGAGAGAGAGAGAGAGGCGCTTCCACGAAGTATAAAACTTAACACTACATTCCAAGCTCAAACTTGGCACCATTCCAGACTCCAGAAGGCACCAAGTTTCAATTATTAACACCATGGAGAGGAGGTAAACAAACAACAGAAATATGATCGAATTAATGGTTGGTGGCATCACGCAGCGTGCAGCTTGGTGAAATTGGGCTGATCGAGTGAGCACCGAGCTTGAATTTTGTCTATTGTCAGATTTCTAAAAGAGTGAAATATGATGGAGTTAATGCTTCCTATTCAAGTCTGTCATGCGTACGTGTAGCAACAAGGACGTTACACCTAGTTGTTGAACTAAAAATACAAGAATCGGAAAGACAAGCAGAACAACCAAAAGAAGGGACGAAATGAGACGGAGCAGCATTAAGATTTATCCCAAATACAAACAACCCCAGTACGTACAAATTAGTTTCGTCTTCTTTGGATCTTTAATAGAATTCGCTATGAGATGGGTCACCGTCATATCCAATACAAATGCGCGCGGTCCCACGATTAACTTTAATTCTCGTTTCAGTCGGTGAGACCGGGCATCATGCTGCCAGATCATAATTTTTGATGGGGTAAATTATAGGGAGAATGACTGCTCAGCCCAGGTCAGAATTTTTTGGTCCCGCCGTGATTGTGAATGGAAGTCAAATTTACGAGCAGCATGCAGTTTATAGTGGGGCTATTAATAGACTATAGAGAAGTTTTATTCGGAATTCTACATTGGATTGCAGCGTACTTAATCCTAAATTACAAGGACCCGTCACTGACCTGAGTTTTAATTTGTAATAAAGAAACCTTAATATTTTGGAGTTTTTACTGTTCAGTCCACCCTCAGAAATCTTAGTTATACAGTACAGTTGGGGGTAGGTGTCAGCTCTAAATTGATGACAATTATTAACGGGTGACTGTTATAGGTGAAAGTGTTTATAATTTCAAATTGTTGTAGATCTCCAATTTAATTCAGAATTCTGAGGTGCAGTGCAGTCTACTTATCCCTAAATTTAATTTTGAGTAAAAATTTTAAACTACCTTTATGGTTTCGCTAAACCATAAGGGTAGTTTAAGAAATTTACCTTTTAATTTTTACGTTGTGACAAATACCACGTCAGCCATTAAATCAATTAACAAAAATTGTTAAATTACTAAAATACCTTACTAATCTTTATTTTCGTTATTTTTACCATTCTCTCTTAAAACCTAAACTGATTGAAAAATATCTTCATTTAATTTTCAACGGAAAAGAGTGATGGTCTCTCTTTCGTCAAATCCTTTTGTTGCGAAGGTTCTAGGGGTTTGGGCGAGGTCGTCATGGATTGAAGGAAGCTCAAAGGCAGCAATCTGACGGAGAGAGAGAGAGAGAGACCAAATGAATTCGTCATTCACTCAAATTTGTATTATAAACCACTAGTAAGAAAAGATGGGTGAGAGAGAGACCACTAGTAAGCTCGAAGGCAGCAATTTAGGCCATGTTTGGTTCAACTCTCATTCTTTCTCATTTTTACCCAAGATGAAATTCTAAAGTTGACAAGAATGGATAAAAATAGGAAGAATGAGAAAATATTGCTATGAACAAACACTTTTTTCCTAAAAATGAATTCTTTTCAGACTGACAAGTGTCCTGTGTTGCTCAATTTCATTCTTTAAGAAAAAAAAAATTGTTCTGGTATTCACAAATCGCCAACCTAGATCTCTAATAGTCAATGTTTACCAATTGACATAAATGTTTTGTAAAAGTACTTTCATAAAAGTGCTTTAATAAAAGTCCTTTCATAAAAATGCTTTTGTAAAAGTACTTTCGTAGAAGTCCTTTTATAAAAGTGTTTTCAAAAATGTACTTTCATAGAAGTGCTTTCGTAAAAGTACTTTTATAAGTGCTTTCGTAAAAGTACTTTTATAAGTGCTTTCGTAAAAGTACTTTTATAATAGTTTTTTCTTAAAAATGCTTTTATAAAATAATTTCATAAAAGTGCTTTTATAAAAGTACTTCCATAAAAATGCTTTTATAAAAGTATTTTTGTAAAAGTGCTTCCATAAAATTGCTTTTATAAAAGTAGTTCCATAAAAGTGATTTTATAAAGTGCTTTTGCAAAAGTGCTTTTATAAAAGTACTTTTGTAAAAGTTCTTTTATAAAAGTGCTTTCATAAAAGTGCTTTTATAAAGTTCTTTTGTGAAAGTGCTTTTGTAAAAGTGCTTTCATAAAAGTAATTCATAAAAGTACTTCCATAAAAGTGCTTTTATATAAGTACTTTTGTGAATGTGCTTTTATATAAGTACTTTTGTGAAAGTACTTCCATAAAAGTGCTTTCATTTAAAAGTGCTTTCGTAAAAATGCTTTCATGTAAAAGTACTTTTATTTAAGTGTTTTCGTGAAAGTACTTTTGTAAAAGTGCTTTCGTAGAAGTAAACATCTATAGCAATAGTTTTGTAGGAAGAGTTTCCTCAAAGAATGAAATGAGCAAGATGGGGCATTATTACTTTTCATGCTACAGGCTACTCAATTTTTGTGCTATGAAACTAAATGAAATGAACAAGATGGGGCATTATTATTTTTCATGCTACAAGCTACTCAATTTTTGTGCTATGAAGCTAATTTTTCATTCTAAAAAGGATGTGGCCATTATGCTACGTTTGTTTCCAATGCAAATGCAAACATGAGATATTCTAACACTCCCTAAACAATCCATCCACATTTCCTACTCAATCCATTCATATTTCATTGAAGGTACCGTCAGCCTTCAAACAATGATACCTGATAACAGTTTGCATTCACATTTACTAATCAATCCATTCACAAATCATTAAATGTCATGTCAGCCTTCAAACAATGAGACCTGATAAATATAAGTGACCTGCTAACAACTGATAAATATATAGTGATGAGATCAGTCTATCTGATTCGATAATGAATACAGAGGATAGCGACATGAAAACAGATGATGAATGTGGTTCCTACTATAAGTGATCCATAATAGATGATAAAATCAGATTTGTTAATGATAATGATAATGATAAGTGATCCAAAATGTGGTTCTTGCTTAATATAAGTGACCTGCTAATGATAATATGATAAAAAAGAATACATGAAAACAAACCCATGACCATAACAGAAGACAACAAACACACAYCCCTAGTGTTTAGTTCAGTTGCATTTGAACCATCCCTATCTCTCTTTCCCTCACACATCTCCCTCTCCCTTTCTCTCTCTCTATCTATCTATCTCGCCATCTATCTATCTATTTTATCAATCTCTCTCTCTATCTCTCTCCCTCTCCCTCTCCCTATCTCTTTCTCATATATATTTATATATATAACCTTCCAAATGATTTGGTCAATTAAACAACCCCCATGCCACAATCCCAGTGAAGAATCCAATGATGCCTCTTATCAGATATGGCCTAATTGTTGATGTGGATGGCTCTGCAACCAACTTCTTAGAGGAATATGTTGTATCTAGCTGTACTTCACAATACTTAATAGTATATATCTTCAACTTCTTCTCGACTGTTATATGAACAATAAGAATTCCCCCTRAACCCAACAACTTGCTTTTGACACTCGGGCCATGAGTCATACACACCTGGCTTTCTCCCCTTGAACACAACATATGATTTTTTCATCCTACACACCTCATCATTATGACAAGCTTATGTGAGTACATTTCGAAGCAACAAACAGATTATGACATACTACAAACAAAGAGATATAACAAGAAAGTTCCATTATATCAATAAGTTAAAAGTATTAGTGTATAAGTAAGTACTAAAAAGAGTGTTAAAAGCTACTATAGCTGCCACCAACTAGTTAATATGTTTTATCGGCAAGTGCATCAACCTAAGTTATAATAAAAAAGGGTAGAAGTGTTAAAGTTCCATTGTCTAAACTTCATAATAAGAGAAGATGTACTACTACATTCCACCAAAATTAGTCATCTTAGATATGATGGATAGGACCATCTGAGCCCTAAATGGCTTGTCCCTCGCAAGTAAAATCTTTGTTTCCTTCTCATGTTCACCTAGGTACCTAAAGACAGTGTTCTGGACTTGGATGTCATACCCTTCCAAGTCCATAACTTCCTTCCATAAATGGTATAAGAAATCCATCTCAATTTCCACTGTAAGTGCATATGCAATTTTTGACATTATAATATTCATTCTACCAATTGCACCAATAAAGTCCTGGTTGGGCTTTGGTTTTGATCCATGCACTTTTTTTTTGAGCTTGAGGAACCTACCCTCCGGTTGTTGTTGGAGATTGATTGATTGCCATCTTCACAGATGAATTCATCAACAGTCAATGGGGTTGTTGCATCATCATTGAACTCAGGGTCATCCTCTTCAGCACCATCAACATCAACATTACACTCAGTCATGGACTCAAACCCTGCCATAGCCTTGTCACCCGTAGGCTGATCATTTCCCAGAACTGTTTGCATTTCCTCAAACATCTCCATCACCTTGTGTTTATTTAACACACAGTCCAAGTGGATTGGCCTGCATTGTAGATAGCATCATTACTAGTTGTTAATTTTTAAACATTAATTAAAAAACCAAATATGCCACATTTACCTTGATGTAATCATCCCAAACAACAGGGTCAGCTATGATTTGATTGTTGGATTCATTCTAGCCGAAGCCACTAGTCCCAAGCAGCTTCTTGGGTTCCATGTATATGGGTTTTAATGTTCTCATTCTACTCTTAATATGGGGTGTTCTCATATCAATATTGAAGTAGGCAGTCATCTCCTTGCATACTGATGTGTATGCAGATGTCCGAAATCCCTTATCAATCTTATTGCCCAATGCTACTTGATCATCAAGTAGCTCAATCAATGCCTTATCCATGGCATCATTCCATCTTATTTGTCGACTTCGATCAACCTTGCTGGACATAGTTTGAGAGATAGACAACACATCCTTTCCCTTATTGCCATCTTTCCTATTACTGATAGATGTTCCTGTTATATCTCTACTAGAGACCATCCCTACTAAAAGTATTCCATTTCATGTAGTAAATAAATAACACATAGACATGTACATACATTATCATAAAGAAATAATGAAAATACCTCTAATAATAAAAAACATAAAAGTAAGCATGTGCAATACAAAAATATGGTGTTTAAACAATATTGCTGATATATTAAACTGTCTAACAAGTAAGTCATKGATATCTAATAAAACAAATAAAACTGGGTATTTTAAACATTATAAGAATTGCAATCAACACAAATTGGTTCTAACAATGATGATGTGCAATTAATCCAAATACTACAACTCCTAATCATCTTCGCAGTCTCCTCCAGTCCCGAAACATGTCTGACCCAATCTGGTCCCTAAATGTGGACCACCTTGCTAGTTCATTTCTTTGTAGCCTTGGTGCAAAGGAATCTGCATTGGCACTTTCTTCCACAAATTCATCCCCATCGGATGTATTTTGCCTGTCTGCCTCAYGGATCCCTTCTCGGGTGTACCGGTCATGTGGATCAACTCCCATGATATGGTTGTGAAGCACACAACAAGCTATAACAATCTTGACCTGCATGTCAAAGTGAAAATGTTGTGTTGCATCAAGAATTGCCTAACGCTTCTTTAGAACACCAAAAGCACATTCCACTGCATTTCTCAATGATGAACGCCTGTGGTTGAAAATCTCCCGAGGGGACTCCAACAACCACACTCATATCTCATTGAGGTGGTATCTGGCACCTCAATAAGGTGCTAGGAAGCTTGGCATGCTTTTGTATCCAGCATCTACTAAGTAGTATTTTCCTATATTTCATTGAGTGATCATTGGCAACAATCGATTAGTTAAGACAATAGAGTCCACTATTTGAGTATTAGAAAGAATRAAGTATCAATTTAAGTTACCTTCTGGGACGTAGAGTTTGCACTCCCTTCACAGGGAATCATATAGAACTATGGCATCAGTGGCCGAACCCTCCCACCCAGTCAATACATAAGTGAATTTTAAATCGGATGTCATTACAACCATTACATTTTGTGTTGTTTTCCCCTTCCTACCACGAAACTTGCCTTGCTCCTCAACAGGCACTTTGCATGGGATATGGGTCCCATCAATTGCACCTATACAATCGTACATTTAACTAAATCATGTTAATTTCATGGTCTAGAGAGGTCTTAAGGTAAGGTAAAAAGTTTAGTAATCTGTTACATACCTTAAAATATGGAATAAACCGGGAGTCATTCCTAATCTCCAGTGGTACTTGTTCTCCAATAGGTTGTATAACCAACATAAGGTACAATCTAAGTACAACATGCAGGATTTTGTGGAAATACCGAATTACACTCTCTTGTGAACACCCAAAGGTAACATGTATGACACTATTCCTTTCATTATGCCTTATAGTGTGCAAAAGCATTGCAACTTGCTCTTCGACAGACATGTTAATGGTTGGCCGAAGTCCACTATGGATAACAAGTAAATGACATAGGGAATCAAAACATGGCTTTCTCATCCTAATCTGAGATAAATAGGATGACTCACTACTAAATACAATGTTAAGAAATACTCCATTCCCTAGGCTTCTGACCTCCCACACCCTTCGACTCGCAGATTCAGTATACTGTTTGACGATGACAACCACCACAAGATATATCATAATGGAACTAATGGCCGCACTGATCCGCCTACGCTTGGCCACAGTGTCAAGTGTTACCTCCATGCTTGACTAACAAGTCAAAAGATTCCATGARAATTATCCAATATATTTATGAATGGAATGGGTCATTATAAAAGAAAAAAAGCAATGTTTAGAGTGCTATTACAATGAAAGCACTATTTGGATATTTTTAGTTTCTAGTAAATTGAAGCCTATTTTGAAGTGGAATTTAAAAATATCCATTTGGGCTTACTAAGTGAGTCATACTAACATTAGCAAGTCCATTCACTTGGCCAAGTGAATCATGATAAGTTAATAACACAATAGTTAGGCAGCTAAAGAAATGGTTAGGAAGCTCATATCTTGTGCTTACGTCCATAAACGTTGGTAACCTAAATAGGAACAATCTAGATTGCAAACTGTGATTTTGAAATAGGTGAGCTTTTTCTACCCACAGTCTGGTTCTGACTAGGGTATGTACAAGAATCATAATTCTGCTTGAATGGGGTTTCCAAAGATGGAGAAAACAACAGTAATTAGCTCTCAAGGAAAGGAGTAAGAATTGATCTTTTTATATATTCCAGATAAGAATTGATTTTTTTTAATATCCCTGGTCACCCATTGCAACCTGGGTGACTAGGGTTCAAATCTTCCATATTTACATACATACCATGCCTATATAGATCTAGCAGTATCATTTCAGTTATCCTGTTAATGATACTAAACATGGTCATTAATAAACTGGTGATTAAAATTTAAATTCCACTGATCATTTTCTTTCAACATTTTTCCTTTAGTTTGTTGCTTTTTAATTGACATTTTTATTGAAATTTGTGCAGGGCTGTTGCTTACATTCYTCTGACAGTATTGGTAGTTCCAGCTTCAATTCTGACTGTAAGCATTAATCACCTGCTGTTGGTTTATGAATCAAGTTTCCTCCTGTTTCCTATTGTAGGATGAGGATTATGGAAAATTTATGGTTTCTACTTCAGCAATGCTTCTAGTCATTAATGCTTCATTAATGCCAGAGTTACTAAGTTACTAACATCTTGTTCAGATGGATTGGAAGGTCATCCAATATTCTGGCTGAAAGACTAGGTGGACAAGGTGTAGGAATGCTAGAGTTGTATTGTTCTGCATCTTTACGTAGATAGCTGATTATAATTGATTTTTACTTTCTTGCAACTTGTACTGTTTGTGATGTAGGACAAATAGGGGATCTACAACCTTCAGATCTAGTGGTGGGYTTTTGAGGGTGAAAGAAGACAAATAGGTGATTAACGATGAAGAATAGGTGAAGTAGAGAGTTTTCTGTCCATGTCAAACTAAATTCAGTAAACCAAACTCTTGTTCATTTTATAAGCTCTTCTAAGTTTTAATTAAAATGACCCTATTTGTAGACTCAATATTTTTTTCCGGAAAAGTATGATATTTCATTACTTTAAAAAGTATTAGCCCATGTGCAATAAGGGACTTTACAATSACAATGAACAAATTTATTACAGATTTGTACTCCTTATTACAAAAAGATGACCATGATCAAGAAAAGAAGAGTATGGCATCCCTTGTAATGGCTTATGCATTGCCATCCAAGAGCATAACATGCCATTGCCATGAACATTCAATCTCTCCCTTCATTCCCTCAAGGAATAAATGGCATTAGAGACCAATACCCTGACTTGTTCACCAAATGAAGTCATCAGTTTGGAGATGCAGATCCTAATTGCCAGGTTCATGGTTTSTACTAAAAGTTTCATTACCTTTTATGTCACAAAAATTAGAACAAGGAAAAAGAAAGGCCCCACAAGGGTCTTTGACTAGTTGCAGTAGAGACTGGATAAAATCCCATAGACACCAAGTTGGATGTTGTGGGTATGGGAGATAGGTTACCCCTATTGTGTATCCTCATGAAACCAAATAAATAAATAAATAAAAATGTAAAAAWAAATTCAGAAAATAAGAGAAAAGATGAAAATTGTTGAACACTTGAACTGATTGAATAAAATAAAATAAACGGAGAGAGAAGTTACATTGCATCATCGAATGCAAGACAGCAATAAATCCACCACCAATGAAAATTCAACTAACTTGCTTCAAAAAAACAAAAATTCAACTAACTATGAAAGCAAAACAAAAAGAAAGAAAAATCAGGGTTACAAACATATTGAACAATCCTACTAAAAGAAACCCAACTAGAGTCTCTCTCTAGTCTTCATTTCTTCGCAGAGCATCTTCTTATCTCTCTAGATTTGGTTTCTTTTTGTACTATATATATGCAATTTGTAATTCATAGCTTTGTTAATGAAGATATCACATATGCAAAGGCAAACATCATACGTATACCTTCAAAGGGAAATATCACATATTCAAGAAGATATCTTCATCAAACAAGAATGATAATATAAAAAGCAATTAATTAGGAAGCAGAGTAACAAAGAAGAAGAATTTCACCATGCACGTAGTTGATTGTTGAAGACAGAGCGGAAGATGTGTAAACTTGGCTAGATCTGAGAAAGAATCAACAGAAAATGATGAAAGCCTTTATTAGTCGAAGCAAAATACCGGTTCTATGAAGCTCAAGATAGATCTAACATTACCTTGTGTAAATCGAAATGAAGATCTTCAACCTCCTATCAGATCGGCAGGAACCCCGCAACCAGACATGAAAACATGAAAATAGCAAAACACAAGTCAGAAAAAAACATAAGATATTGATCGCCGACCACCGACGACCATGCCTTGGTCGGAGATGGAGGTGAGAAAGTACCGTTAGAAGGAGGGGGGAGGGGGGTGGTGGTGCAACAGATCTCTTCTCACCCGAAACGGCTATTTTTCTCACAAAGTCGAAAGCAAATGCATAACCTAATTACATCATCGAGAGAAGAGAGCAAGATTGCATCAAAAAAATCAATGCAGTAATGCACTCTTCGATCGATACATTCCCGTCAGAAAATACAGTTTTACACTCATTTTCAATGCATATATGTATCGCAAACAAACACTTACAAACACGAACTGGAGTACATAAATACTCTGGTTCGACGTTTGTATCGCAAAAAACGCAGCCTTAGCAAGAATTTTGTAACAAAACACTCTAATGCTATTTATTCTTAGCCATTCTTGCCTAGAATGAGAAAGAATTAAGAGAATGAGGCCCAAAGTAATGAACCAAGCATTACCTTAACTGATCTCCCTTTYGTCATTCACTCAAATCCTTCATGTACGCAATCGATAATGTCAAATAAAATAAAATAATATATATAGAGAGAGAGAGACTGGAGCAACGCCATCTCTTGCTTCTGTTCCTTCAAACCAATGTACCAAAATCATTTTCAATGCTTAGTCACCCACATTAAATGCTTCCCCAGTCCAAATTTGGATGAGCTCACCCACCGAAATCACCTCTCTCTCCTGAAGCGAACACGAACGAGAGACCGTGACCTCTGTAGTATGTTCTTCTACCACTAACACTGTAGAAAGCCCATTTCTAGATTGAGTTTTTAAGAGAAAATGCAAGCCCAGATAATAAGCCCAGATGGAGAAAGCATGGAAATAGTGGTTTGGAGCGACAAATTTTGGGTTTGACTTTTGAGCAAAGAAACGATGGAACGCAAAAAAGAACCAACTAGGTTTAGGCTTTATTTGACATGCATTAAATTTTTTTATTTTTCTTACGCTTTGCATGTCTAGTTCCTTTGTTTGCACAGTATTAAAACTCTCATAGATATGTTGCAAGCAAATGCATACGATGCATGGTTAGGGTTGAATACATAGAAAATTTTGATTAGATTAAGGTTGACAAATTTGGGGTGGTCTTGATTGAGGTATATTTTCAATGTATAGATGTTATGATCTAATAACAAATAAAAATGAATAATAAGGGTTATTTGATTTTTCTTTTCTTTTAGTTTTTTATTTAAAATATGCTTGTCTTATTGATAAAATTGGAATGTATTATGCATGTTATTTCATATTCAATAATTGGCATGTCAATGCCAAGTAAATTAATAAAACCCATCCTTTGAATATTAGACTTGAAAAAACATGGACCATATTGGAGATTGAAATAGGTTCCAAATCTTGTAAAGTTCTATTTTTATGATATTTCTGTGGATGGAAATTATCTGATGCCAATTGGTTAACAAAAGTAGATTCTTCCAAAACTTAGAGGATTGATATTTGGGGCTTAGATTTTTTTTTTTTGGATCTGTTGGGCTATAGGCGATTGACCCATGAGAAATGCTCTCGACTTCCTAGGAGATTGCTTGGATAAAAATTTGAATGGGAGGAGTTATCTCAATGTATCAAATATGTGAAAGGTAAATGATTATCCATGATCTACTTGGGGCTAAGGAAACCGGGTTCATATAACTCTTAGATACCTTAAGCTAATTTTGGCAGTCAATGGCAAAATGTCTATGGAGCAATCAACTAAACACATGGAGTAAGTTTTAGTAACCACCTAATTTAGACCTCATCTACAATTTTCGGTTAGTAAATATATTGAACAAACTCATTACTCAGCATGTAGAGTATGTCTTCTAAAGAGAATGTCATTAGGACTGAAGGAAAATATCTTGCATTTAAATTGGACTTGTTTAATTAAAGAACAATGTGTATGACTTTTTTTAGAGGATAAAAAAGCCCATAAGTTGATTCATTCATTCAAACTTGATGAAATATCATTTACAAGAATAGTGTTAAAAAAATCTGGAATAATTGACGAGGTAAAAGGACGATTCAAAGATGAACCTTTTTTTGCTATCGCATGAGCAGCCTTATTTGCAAATCGATGGATTCTACAACATGACTAAATTTAATCCAATGGGTTCTACAATTTCCTTTATTTCCAGAGGAAAATTATAATTAATATTAAAAATGTCTAAACCCACATTTTGTCAGGGTGTTTTGATGTTTTGATAATAGGGGTAGAAGCAGAAATATGAAATCAGAATCTTCGACGATAACCAATGAACCATTCTCATCTCATTTTTATTAATGGGTAAGACATATTTACACATTATAGGGGGGATTAATCCTTAAGGCGCGGGGAAAGAGCAATG